TTTTAAATGGAAAACATTATTAGAGACGACATACATTAATGAATGAAAATTTGATGACAAAACGTGACAAAAAAAATTGGAAACACAAGTGATAAATTTGAAGACTTTAATTACAATAAAAATGTGATGTAACAAATAAAATATGTTGTGCGAATATAATTATACTAATATATTCTAAGAAACTTTTTACGTAACAACTTTTATTTTTCAGGTCAATTTTTTTTGAAAATATGCATATAAAGTTGCTTGTCTTTTCTTCGTCCTCAAATCGGACTCCACCATCCTTAATTTATTGAATTATATATATCACAATTGGTATTCTTTTCATTTTGTATAAATTAATTATTTAAGGTTATGATATTTGAAAGGCTTCTCACTAAAAAACGGATGGCAAAACATGAATAATGCTTGAAGTACAGGTCTCTGTGAGGCAAGACACATGTGGGACCTGCGTCAATTTTTTTATATACATGTGGGGGGCCCGCCCCTTTGTGAGGGGCCTGTAAGGCCTCTATGAAAAATTGCCTTATACACTGGGCATTATTCGACAAAACATGGTTATTATAAATCATGATCATTCTCTATTTACGTAATCTGTAATCATTGAATAATCTCTTTTATTATTGTACCGTTTTTACTATGATAATTCTAGAGATGCTTTGCTAATATTTGGAGCCATGACAAGGTATGACAGATGTTCTATCATTGTACCTTATCATACTGAAAATGGTACATTGATATTGAAAAAAAAATTATTTGGAGCTAATCCGATTTCAAACCCCTAGAGATAATGTTTAGGTAAATTGAAAATTAAGTAACAATTTTACTTTTTCCTAAACATATTTAAATAAGCTAAAAAAATTGAAAATAACTTGCATAATCATGATATTTGAAGGTAGAATCTCGCAGTGTTGATTGCTCGACCTTAATTTTGATTTTCACTCTTCTTCTTTTTCCCCCCTTTTAGAGGGAGAAACAGAATGGGAACGAACGAGTTGCCTCCTTTCCGAGAATAGTGAGGACAAGCAAAGAACCCAACTATTTGAATTTTTAATCTCATATATGTCACCATACGAAGTTAATTGTCTGTAATAGTCCACTATTATAAAGAGATCTCAATTGTCCCTAATCCATGAAGGAAAAAAGAAACTTTTTTACTAGTGTAGGCTTCTCCTATGTTTGGCTCATCGATTTTATAAATAATCAGACAACTTTTTATCCATACGTTTCGAGGAACCCACAAGTACTAACTTATCTACTACCAATTTCTATCTGTTTATAATTTAAACCATTTCCCAGACATGCTTTTGAAACTACGTAGTGAAAATATGTAAAAGAATATATATTTATCTTGCTACTGATATCAGTAAAACACATTTTGGTCATCCATCAGCCCGGGATGACACAATAGCATCCTAGGTCTATCTCTGGGGATGTGCTTTGTGTACATAATATGGACGTGTTTCGTAGAAATTAAAATCGAATTAAAATTAAAAAACTAGCCGTTATTGTTGACTTTTATTAGAAGAGTGAGACCCAATAATGACTATATTTTTAATTTTAATTGGATTTTAATCACTCTCAAACATGCTCTATA